AGTTCTGAAGAACAACAAAAATAGAAAAACAAGGAATGTAACACATATTAAGAAACTTTTGACTAAACTTTTATATAAATATGTCTACATATATATGTATGTATAAATTAATACTACACCGCAAAAATTTTTAACTTTATGTATAATATAACAATTGTCTCGTGTAACGCGCATGCACACGACTAGTATTTATCTAGTCTAGTTAGATATGAACTGCATAAGTACTCTCTCAGTGGAGAAACTTTTTATAGAACAAGACTTGCTCCTTACTCAGAAAACCGTCAAGACAAAAAAAAATAAAAAATTACTAAAAACAAACATAAAAATAAAAAAACGGTAGAGACAAAATTATATGGGAGAAAGTAAATATTATTGCAAAGATCAAAATCCCAAGAGATAAACTAAAATGGAAATAAAAATAAAGATAAAAATAAAAATTAAGGTAATATGTCCTACGATTTTTAATCTCCCTAATAATTATCACTAATTTTTTTAAAAATTTGTATTTTGTAGTTCTGAAGAACAACAAAAATAGAAAAACAAGGAATGCAACACATATTAAGAAACTTTTCACTAAAATTTATATAAATATGTCTACATATATATGTATGTATAAATTAATACTCCACTGCAAAATTTTTTAACTTTATGTATAATATAACAATTGTCTCGCGTAACGCGCATGCACACGACTAGTCTTTATCTAGTCTAGTTAGATATGAACTGGATAAGTACTCTCTCAGTGGACAAGCTTTTTGGAACAAGACTCGCTCCTTGCTCACAAAGCCGTCAAGACAAAAGGAAAATTAAAAAATTTAATAAAAATAAACATAAAAATTAAAAAAAAAAATGGTGGAAACAAAATTATAAGGGAGAAAGTAAATATTATTGCAAAGATCAAAATCCCATGAGATAAACTAAAATGAAAATAAAAATAAAGATCAAGATCAAGGTAATATGTCCTAAGATTTTCAATCTCCCTAATAATTATCACTAATTTTTTTTTAAAAAAATTTGTATTTTGCGGTTTTAAAGAACAATAAAAATAGGAAAACAAAGAATGTAACACATATTAAGAAACTTTTCCCTAAAATTTTATATAAATATGTCTACATATATATGTATGTATAAATTAATACTACACTGCAAAAATTTTCAACTATATGTATAATATAACAATTGTCTCGCGTAACATGCAGGCGCACGACTAGTCTTTATCTAGTCTAGTTAGATATGAACTGGATAAGTACTCTCTCAATAGAGAAACTCTTTGGAACAAGACTCGGTCCTTACTCACAAAGCCGTCAAGACAAAAATAAAAAAAAATTAATAAAAATAAAAATAAAAATAAAAAAAACAGTCGAGACAAAATTGTAAGGGAGAATGTAAATATTATTGCAAAGATAAAAATCCCAAGAGATAAACTGTAACACCCTGAAGAATTAATTGAGATTAATTAAGGTAATTAAGATTTATTAGTGTGGCTAATCTGATTTAATTAATTGATTATTGATTAACAAATTTTCTGACGTGTAAATTTAAATAATTCAAAGGTATATAAATATTCTTAGTATTTACATTTTTACCTAGAAGTGTGTATGAGCACATTCTCTGGACTGTTATTTCAAACATTTTGATACTTGTCCATTTTCATTTTCCTTTTCTTTTCCTTTTCCTTCCTTTTCTTTTCCTTTCCATGCACCTCACTCTCTCTCTTCACTCCCGTACTCACTCTCTCTCACTCTCACTCTCGAACTCACTCACTCACTCACTCTCTCTCTCTCTCTCTCTCTCTCTCTCTCTCTCCCATTTTTGTTTCAAAACCAACCGGATTTTGAACCAAAGAAGGATTCCAAGAAGTTTTCAACGCCAAGAGAAGGATTCAAGGTAAGGTTTCTAAAAAACTTCTCTTGAATCTCGGATTTTTGGATTTAAAAACTTATTTTTGGTTCGAAATGGATTTTGATGGATTTTGAGTAAAACCATGGTAGAAATTGGAGATCTTAGGTTCTTTGGACTTGATTTAGTGCCTAGAACCCGAATCTACTTGTTTTCCCTTGAGATATTTTGATTTGGGACTGGAGTTGTAGGTGTTCAAACTGATTTTGTGGGTTTTCTCGCACTGGTGTTCTTCACCGGTCGACTGGATTGCATTGGCCTCACCGGTCGACCTGTTCGGTCGACCGGATTGCACACCACCGGTCGACCGGTGGTGTTGCACTGTTCTGTCATCGGTTGACCAGTGTACACGGGGTTTGACCTTGTTTTTCCTAAAAATGCTGTTTTGACCTCGGTTTTCTAAGAGAACCCAAATTAGCTTCGTTTGGGGACCTAGAATTTATGGATTAGCATCTTTAATCCATGTTTTGGAATCAAAACCCTTGGAATGATGATTTGAAACATTAAATGGTTTATGAAACCGGTAAATGAATTATGGCACACTAATAGGAAATCAAAGGATATAATTGAGACTGAATTGCTTTAGGAATGAGAATTGAATCCTAAAGTGTTGTCTTGTATCAGTGTTAGCTGAGGACTCGGATTGAGGGGCTTGAGAAAGTAGAAGCCGGAATAGTGCACCGCTAGCCACAAGTTTGATATTTACGAGGTAGGATTCCTTATCCCTTTTCTTTGTGAGCCTAATTTTAAAAGAGTTTTGGCCTTGTAAATGTTTTAAAGAAAAGGGGCTTGTTTGTGAAAGAAAAGTCTTTAAAACCGATGGCTTGTTGTAGTTCATGGTACCCATGGCTTGTTGTAGTACATGGGACCATGGCTTGTTGTAGTTCATGGGACTCATGGCTTGTTGTAGTTCATGAGATTATAATGAATGATTTCATAAAGTTTAATGAGTGATTTTTTAAGATAAGAGATTTTGCGAATCGGTAAACTGGCTGATGGCCAAGATAGGATGTGGAGAGTGCATCTTTGGAGGCAGAACCCGAAACCCGGCCCGGGGGTGATATGGCTTGTGCACGTGATTGTGTAAGTAATTTATCATAATATAAATTACTTGTTGATGCCTGTAATACGGATATTTTCAGATATATTTCCTTACTTCAGCGTATTCTTTACGAAGGGTTGGACTTGGTCGTAGTGAGCATTGGTACACCAGGGCTTTAAAGTGATGAAAACCCCAATTCACAATTTGATGATGAGTCCAAGGACAAGATCTTCAAATAACTATGGACACAAATTATAATACAGGCTTAAAATAGCAGCATCAAAGTTCAAATCGCGAACTGAGCTTTTCATCACTTCAAAACTTTGGTGCACCGATGCTCACAACAATGAAGTCGTATACAACTGAGATTAAAAAAAATACAATAAAGTAAGACCACACATATTACTATCCAAGAAAAGGAAATGTGAATAATGAGAGGAAGGAAGAATAAGGAAGAGGAAGAAGGGTTGGAGACCCTTGGAGCTGCTTGAGACTTGAGAGTGTGGGTAATGGAATGGAAGGAGGCGTGTGTGTGTGTATATATATATATATATATATATATATGTATGTATATATATAGGCCCTCGTTTAGGCAAAACCAGACAAAATACATTGAGATTTTTTCCAGTTTGTTTTTAAACTTTGACTTTAATGAAGACTTTGGAGATTAGTTTGGAAAAATTGATGTGGTCACAAATTCACGATGCCGATATTAATGAAAAGGTAGTACAATAATAAAAAGCGCGGTTCAATGCATGAGGAGACGTATTATTGAGGAGAAGAAAGTTGTGAATGAAAAACAGCTTCGTAGTTACGTTGTTGATCATGATATTATTGGTGTGATATGACGACGATACATAGACACCATTAATATTATTTGGTTGAAAGTTGTGTAGGTGGCGACTGGCAAGTAAATCATATACATTGGCATTTTCTTGTCTTGTCTTGTGGGACTCTAAATTAGGTTATATATTCCCAAAGAAAGTTATTTAGGAGTATTTACTACTGGCTGGAACAAAGAGATAAGGATCGGTCATAGATCAGGAGACTTAACTCTTTTGGCGGCCAATTCATTTCTGATGTGGTTGATATGTAGCCCTAGCTACCATTAATTGGAGTGTAAACAAATTGAAACTAGAATTTCTTAATATAAGGTCTTTCTAACACTAGGAATATCCCTGTCAGTCATGCAAGTTTCCAAACGTGAAATCGAATCAAAACACATTAAAATAAACAAATATATAACGTTGCCAGGTCTTACGTTTTAAAGCATACTACTACTAGTCCTAACGATTCTTTCATACTTTATTGAACAATTGTAGTACATAGCTGATGCATTTCCTTCTGGCGTCCGTGACAAAATTCCTTCAATTTGGAAGGGAGCGAAACTAATACTGATATGGTTTTTAAACCAATTACCACCAGTAGGGCTTTTTTTTTCTTTTTTTCTTTTTTTATAAATGATTCAAAATTATAAATTAATTTGTTAGAGATTTCTACATGCACTACCAATACAATTTGTTCTGAACATCTGGTATGCATATTTTTTTTTCTTTTAAATTTAATGGGATTTACGACTCATGGTTTATTATTATTATTATTATTATTATTATTATTATTTTGATGTTGTTGTTTTGTCTGTAATCATTTTGATTTCTTCCTAGCTCTTAAATGAGTCTCTGACTTCAAATATTAGTTGTTGTGGGGGTAAGAGAAATGAAAATTATTAACTCCTAGGATTGATTTTTCAACTATCAAAAATATTAATTTGTCAAACAAATATCACTGAGTGCGACTAGTGAAGGCTGTGTATGCTATGCATTTGAACTCATTAATTGTGCATCATACCTTAAAACAAACTTGATATTACACAGAGGGTATCAAAGTCTACTAACAACCAACCACCTAATTGACCACCCAAATTTTAATTTTAATTTTAAATTTTTTTTTATTTCTCCACCCAAATTAACCGGTGGGACATTTTTTCAGTACCCTTCTCAGCAAGATTTTTGGAATCCTGTCCCATAAACGTTAATACCATTTTCATGGAAAACTTTACTTAAAAATAATAACTAATAAACACTCCAATAGGTTTTTAGTGTCTTTCATTTTATCGAGTAAAATACACCAACCGAGTACACATGAGTACGGTTACACTATCTCTACAACCCTTTTTCTTCCAGCCAAAAGAAAAAAAAAAAGTAAAAAGTAAAATTAGAACTATCTCTTCTTTTTCCCACCCTTGCCGGATTTAGAAGTTCCAGCGCATTCGACACGGATGCAGGCTCTTGCTTCTTGGTCCTGCCAGGATGTCTCGTCTCGGCACAAACTCTGCACAATTCGCAACATCAGCTGTTTCCCTGCAATACAGTCGCAACACGATACTGTAAACGACATCCATCCTACTGTTTCTTGAACCCTCGAGGGGTAATAACTTTCAAAATACATTCACTCTCTTAAAATTTCTCTCAAAACTATTAATTTGTTGGCTGGGGAATTGGGTTGTGAAGTGGGATCTTGGCCGATGAAATACTTGGGTTTACCCTTAAAGGGGGGAATCCTTTGTCGAGAGAATTATTTTAACTTCAAGACAGTTGTTCAGCTGATAACACATTTCTGCAGCTTCAAAAAAAAAAAAAAAAAAAAACATGTAGTGAGGAAAATGAGCCATGCTCTTTGCTAGCATTTATAAAATAAATAAAACATTGACATTGTTGCATGATAATGGGCAGATTACTAGTAATTTGAAAAACTTGTATCGTACCTTGGGACCAATTGAGTTGAGCTTCACAACAGACCTAGCTTTTGTTTAAAGTTTCAATCATGACATCTATTCAATACGAGCACTTAAAAGAGAATTAATAATAGAAAAAAGAAAAGCAATGTCACTCCATGCAATGAGAAATTGATGATACCACCAAATGATTTTGGTGATGCGATTGTCTGAGTTGGTGAGTAAATTGCATGATCTTACTTTCAGCGTATTCTTTACGAAAGCTTGGACTTGGTCGTAGTGAGCATTGGCACACCACAGCTTTAAAGTGACGAAAAACCCAATTCGCAATTTGATGATCAAGAGCTTCAGATAAATATGGATACACAAAATAATAATAATAATAATAATAATAATAATAATAATAATAATAATAATAATAATAATACAGCCCCGAAAATTGCAGTTTCAAAGTTGAGCGGCTGAATTTACACACACATTAAAACATTAGAGGGCGCAACAAGTACGAGTGGGCTACACAAATATTCAAAGCTCTTTCCTTTGGACTCTTCAAATCGCGAACTGAGCTTTTCATCACTTCAAAACTTTGGTGCACCCATGCTCACAACAATGAAGTCGTATACAACTGAGATTAAAAAAATACAATAAAGTAAGACCACACATATTACTATACAAGAAAAGGAAATGTGAATAATGAGAGGAAGGAAGAATAAGGAAGAGGAACAAGGGTTGGAGGCTTTGGAGCTGCTTGAGACTTGAGAGTGAGGGTAATGGAATGGAAGGATATGTACATCACAACTCATAAGTAGCCACATATTATGAGTTACGATCATCCAAAAAGCAAATGAGAAAATTGACTAAAATGCCCTTTCACCACGTTTTTTAAAAAATGACCATACATTCGCCCTTGAAGATAAGTTAGTACAATAATTAAGTGTGTTCCCACGCTACGCACGAGGAAAAGTATTAGTACAATAATTAGGTGGCAAGTAAATCATATTGACGTGGGAGACTTTAAAGCCTCGTTCATTTCATGGACTCGAATTTTCAATTTTAAATTTTTACAGGTAAAAGTTTTAAAAAAATACCACATCTAATTTTTTCTGTTACAGTTAAAAACTCTCAGAAAATGTCACATTTTAGCTCGAATTGAAAACTTGAATTATGTTATATACTTGAATTCAAGTTATTTAGGAGTTGCGTTGCGCACGTAGTTGCCCAAATATTTAGTACTGGAATGAAGAGATAAAAGTCGTCAAGGGCACAACTCAATTGGCCAATTTCTCATCTTCAACATTAGATTCGGTGATATCTACTTCTCCTCAAATTCAATTTCTTGGTTGGAGTGTAAACGATTGAATTCAATCAATTCTTGTATTTTGTTTACACACATATCTTAGCTACTAGACTGTCTATATGCTCATGACATGGAAGACCCTATACTCCTTTGTACTACTAATACATTATGTTTTTCAACTGTTGAATTTGTATCAGAATAGATTGTTTTAATGAGATTTTGATCAGATCTGTCGATAATTAATATGCATTACTGACTCATGGTATTTTGATGTTGTTGCTTTATCTGTAATCATTTTGATTTCTTGCTGGCTCTTAATGAGTGTTGAGCTCAAATATTAGGTGTTGTGGGGTAAGAGAAAGGAAAATTGTTCAACTTCTAGGATTGGTTTTTCAACAATCAAAATATTAATTTGTCAAACAAATATGATCGCAGCGCACTACTGGTGTTTGGTGGTTGGCGCGCGGATCACTCTGACCATCCGACCCCAATCCATAAGGGTCTTCTGTGGCCGGGACCATCGAATCATCCCATAACTATTCACTTGACAAGACAGTAGTCGCACAAGGCCACAATGCATACAATCAATGAATGAAAAACCTCCAAATGGTTTGGGGGCCACTTCTCGTACCATTGTTAGGGCCTACGGTGTGACGACCCTCCTATGAGGCCGCCACTGTAACTTAAACTTTAACTTGTACTTATTGGGGTTTCTTAAAATTTGCGGAACATTTTTTTTTTTTTAATATAAGAAAGAATACTTTCATAATTTGTAACAATAATTTCAAATAAGTGAATCACTAAATTTCTTAAAGCTTTTCTTAATTTCAGTTAAGATAAAACGTTCTAAAAATATCTTTCAAACAGAGCAGCATTTGAACTCTTATTTCAAATGCTCTTTAAAAGCCTTTCTAAAACTAGCCAATTCAATCGGGCCATTTAATTTTGACTTTAAAACGGATTTCGTGAGAAATCTTAAATTCAAGTACATCTTAAAGCCCTTTTAAAATCAATCATTTAAATCGTCATGTTTAAAATTTATTTATTTGTTGCATGCTCTGTTACAACGTTCTAAAACTTAAATACTCAAAACGAGGGTT